CAGGTGGCGCTTTTCGCCAGGAATATAGCCGTTTCCCCGGTAACCGCAGTAAACAAAGCAGCGCAGCACCTGACTTTGAAACTTGCAGCGCTCATATTTAATCAATTAAATAGCCTTTTGAAGTGTAAGCTAAATCTCAATATTATTGATATATAATATATATAAATATAATACTCTGTATATTTAGTTTTTTTTTCACTGGAGCACCACCTGATTCTTCTCCTCCCATTTCTACCAGTGATCCTGGTTTCTTTCCCGCGGGACTACCTGCGCACATATCAATAGCATCACTGGGCTGTAGGTTGCCAAATTGAGGGGATAAATGGGTTGAAATTTATATGCGTCGATCGTGTGAGAAAGATGCGTTTCATACAAGATCTGGCAACTGGACAACCTTGGAATTTGTTGTCGTGATTATTCATATAATGAGGTTTGGCCCATACAAATTACGGGAGTTTTACCGGAAGCAAATGTAGCAAACATATAAAATACGCCCAGTGGGATCTTTTTTTTAAACAGAAAGATTAAAAATACGGGAGAAATATGGGAAAAATATTTAAACGGTATGATAGCAGGATAGAACGGTAAAATACGGGAGAATCCCTGGAAAAACGGGAGGGTTGACAGGTATGACTATAGTGATCACACCAGTATGATCATACATGTCAAAGGGTTAAAGTTAAAACGTCTTAATGATGGATTTGTTTCTTACAAGCATGCAGCTTTTCACTACACTAGACTTTAATTGATGGACTGGAGTGGTGTGGATTACTTGTGGATTATTGTGATGTTTTTATCAGCTGATTGGACTCTTATTCTGACGGCACCCATTCACTGCAGAGGATCCATTGGTGAGCAAGCAATATTGTTTTTAATTTCTACAAATCTGTTCTGATTAAGAAACAAACTCATCTGAATTTTCAGTAAATTTTCATTTTTGGGCGAACTATCCCTTTAACCAGCCAGTGTAAAACAAGGCTCTTGCACCAGCTAGTTGAGCACCAAACCAGTACTAAGCAGTCAGGCTTACAGGAAACCTTGTCAGATATCCTTACCGTTATCCTCTCATCTCTGTCGTCTATGGTCACTCCATCTTTCTTCCAGGAGATGGTGGGTTCTGGGTGTCCGCGGGGCGGCTGGCACTCCATGACCGCTGGCTCGCCTGCCGCCACCATCACGTCCACAGGGTTCTGTCTGAAATCATCTCGAAGAACTGATAAAAAGAGAGAAAGAAAAACAGATATTAGAAACACGAACAGCATTTCTATCATGAAATCACTCAAGTTAATGTTTAAAGGAGAGGAATAACAAATTAGAAACCACGAGAGGAACATTTTTCTACTCTTGCCCAGCACAAACCACCTCTAATCTATTTCAAACACAAAGATTAAACCTAAAACTTCTGTTTACATTAGCTAGAGAGGCACAAAGAAGGGTTTGAAACATAAAGTGCTCTTCCTGCGTGTAAGTAATATTAATGTGGGACACAAGTGAGCAGTGAAGATCGAACATTCATCTAAACCACTGCTCAAGTGCGCAATAACATCTAATATCTGCTCACACGAACGTGCTGTATATTTGAGAGTTAGCCTTCTGATGGATTCGCTTAAAGCGTTCCCATTAATCCAAGACAGCATTCCTTTCAGTGTCATTTAGATACTGTACAGCAGCACATTAGATTAGTCCAATGCTTTAAATTATATACACATGACATGGGAAAAGCACACGTGGTGAAACATAGCAACTTGAAATGAGATATTTTCCAAAACCTAGTCAATGTGAAATCAAAATGAACCATATTTGCTTTTGCAATGCACATTTCTGATGTCTGTGCACTTCATTACAAAGGAAATGATCTATACAGAGGATCTTTAAAATATATATATATATATATATATATATAATTTTAATTATTACTTATTCACATGCAAGTAGCACAGTTCATTCAAGACTTCAAGATATTTCAGAACTAAGCAGATATCAGTATTTCTCCCCTTTTCATTTCAGGTACGTGTAAGTCAACAGAAACACAACTTCTTTCGACTCTCACGCCCCTGAATGTGTTCCTGTCGGCACGATTAACCTCAGCGCTAGATCAAAGTGAGATGCTCAAGGTAACCTGAACTCCTGACTGCCTCCCAATTCCTTTAAGACTTTAAGCACTTAATTGGCCATATGATTCCAGTTTCTACTGCTTGTAATGTCACAGCAGGTAAAAGTCCCCCTTTACCCCACTGAAAAGAGTTGTAAAGAAATGGAAATAATTTCTTCTCCTCCTCTCTCCCTCTCTCTTTTTCCGTCATTTCTCTGTAACAATCTCTCAAGCATATTCCTTCCAGCCAAGGATTTCATTTCAATTAGGCAGTCTACAGAGGAAAGACACACATGTCCAGCAGAAGATCACTGGCCAGTGGAGAGAGAGATGAGGGTCACTGTCTAATGTGAACTATGTTTGCTGTCTGTGGATCAGCTCTGGGATTCTGATTTTCTCACCGGATCAACAAACTTGGATTGAGTTTGCACAGTTGTGTGAAACCAGCCCACGCTTGATTTGCACCCTGAGCTGAGAAACTTGATAACCTGCTCACTCTCTAACAGGGCCTTGTGGGGAAAGTTGTGTGTGTGTGTGTGTGTGTATACATAAGTCAAGTTCTGAACATGTGTCTACAAAATGGAAATAGAGTGCTGGAAATGATATAAACCACTGAAGTGAGACAGAAAGAGTGATGGTAAGAGAGAGAGAAGCCAAGCACTTCACTTTAAAGAGACAGTTAACCCAACATAAGTAATATAACCTTCTTTTGTCTGTGAAACACAAATGATACATTTTTGAAGAACATGTACATTAAGACTTGGATTATACTACACATATACTACTCATGATTACATTTATGATACTTGTATGGTGTTTTGCATCCTTTTTGAAGCTTGAAAGCAACTATTCAGTGTAACTGTATTAAAAACGGGCAACCAGTATATTGTTGAAAATTTCTCTACTTGTGTTATACTTGTGGACCCAAGTCAGAAATCTAAAAAAAAACTATTTAATGATGTTCCAAAAACATTTTTTTTTTATTTAAATTGTGCTTCTTTAGCTCAAATCACATTGGTTGTACATCCTAAATAAATAAATACAGTAAATAAATAATCACCTTTAATTGCATTATTAATTATAAAATATAGGCCAAATCAGTTTTGAATGAGCTGGATCTCATACCAAATACTACTGATGCTCAGACTCAAACTCTGCTCAGCTTCTTCCTCACATTGTACTAAATGTGGCAACCCAAACGTGGCTGTTCAGTTTCCAGAATTTGCAGAACTTTATGCTTCACAGAAATTCGAAACAGATGTGGCAATGTCAAATTAAAATGAGATTTGCGTTGATATGCCTCTCACATTAATGAAATTAATATTTAATACCACACGCCAGCTACAGAGGGATGATAGTATGAGCTCTGCTGGGCGGAAATTAAATGGATTTTGCTGAGCCACCACTGAGGGTTTCTGGGGTGTTCTACTGGAGCCATTGGGGAACTAACTGGAGATTTGCTAAAAAAAGCACTTCAAAAACCCAGAGCTGGCAAAGACGAGGGAAGATTTGTCAAGAACAGGATTGTGGGCCTTTTCCACCGGGAATCTACATACCCTTGAAGAGAAACCATGGGGAATGATCGAAATACAGCAGTTAAATAAGCATAAATGTGCATTATAATCACCATATCTACATGCTTAGAAGCTTACTGAACATTATCATGCTGAAAAGACTAGCATATATTGTGTTTTTGGATGCTGGTTTAGTCCACACTAGACTGCCTAACCACAGCTAGAATAGAATTATAGGCCGTTTTAAACTAGAAAAACTACAATAATTGACCGGCCCAACTAGCAAGAACCTGGTTCTCCACTATCTTATCCAGCAAAACCAATGTGTTCAGCAAAAAGAAATATGGTTCACCGAACTATTCAGGTTTGTAGGTTTCAAACCATGGGGAATTCTGCTATAGAAATGGAAAGGAACTGCGAACATCATCATGTTTCATTACTTCACCCAAACAATCAATAACTTCTTGCATCTGTCCAATCGAGCATCACATACAGGACGAAATGTCACTGGGACGAAATTACGGAATCGTGAGAATATTTGGAGAAACAGTAACGAGAACATGGACGTCAGTTTTGCGAGAACAATTCCACATGAACAATGTGCGTATGCGAGTGCAATCGTTCCCAGATGTGAACCCACGGAACACCACCACACTTTCCCTCTCTTCCAGATCATCTATCCACATGGTGCCTGCTAAACATAATACAAAAATGGAGGGATGACAAATTAGAGCGAGACCTCATTTAGAACGCTCTCCTCACCCTGGGTCACCGCTCCAATGCAGCACAGATTGAAGCTGGAGTTGTGCCAGTCGCTGGTTATCCAACACTTGAGACCACCCGCTAAAAGAAAAAGTACTGAAGAATGGAGAGCTGAACGAATATGCCAGAAAAATGTTTATGTGTATGTCTGCCATTACAAAAGCTACTGTGGCGGCACCATGGAATAATGACAGCATCAGATGGCAATACCACTGTACTTTTGATAAATACCATAGAGATGGACCAGATTAAAATTCTAGTTGACACACCGATAATTATTTTTATAGCCGATAAGCGATAAATGGCCGATAATAAAATCCTTCTACTTTGTCAATAAATAAATAAGTAATATAATAATAATAACAAAATAAATAAATAAATATTCAAATTGCTCATTGAATAATAAAACAATATAACTTTTTTATATTTAAATTATTTTATTATTATTACTATTATTAATAATTCAATTTCATTTACTATTTTGTATGAATAAATAAAAATAAATTACTAAAAACTATCAATTGTCTTAAATGCTACATGTGAATTCAACATTATAATGCATCTTAATAATATAAAGTTAAAAATGCATATTATTTTTAAATTTGCAATATTATATTCAACAGCGTTATTAAATCTTTTAGTGTTTTTAAAAATTGCATTGAAGTGTGCTGTAGATGATGGTAATCCGAAAAAAAATAAAAAATACATCCACAAGTACATCCACATTATCCACCCAACTAAATTTACTTTCTTAATGGATTCTCCTGTTCTTTTTGCGAATGATTCATCAGCGCACAACATTTCCAAGAAAAGACAATAACTTGCTCTCCTTTAAAATGACTTTGCATTTCATTGATGTCACATAGGCTGCACAGGTCAATGCCATTTAGCTATTTAGTCATTATTTTTTCAAACTAGCATTCAGTCTGGCTCCATTCTGGTTTGTAATGCACACGTTTCACAATCTAATCACTTCCTGATAAGTCAACCACAAGCCCAACATTTATTTTTTCATGTTTCACTCAAATTACAGCAGTAAAATGAGCTACAAATGGCACAAATATAAATATATAAAGGCCAAATTGGCATTCAAACTACTTGCTAGCCAAGCATCTACAGGACAATCATTTCTAGTTTACTTCCACCTCCCCAAACGCCACTGTTTCTCCCTCCATTATTTTCCACCAAACCATCATGAGTGCCCACCTCATTCATCACTGCCTGATGCTTGAACCCTTTCCACTGTCTGTAGGGTCTCCGGGGCCAGTGAGGGCCAGAACTTGCTGCTGGAAATGCACACTTTAGCGAGGACATACTATACCTGCCTAGAGTCTCAAAGAGCGGATCGATACACTGCTCTCATTAGCAGCAGAGAGCTGAGAGGAGATGGGGGATACAAACCTGCTAGTGCATTCACAGCGAGTCAACCCTTCCTGGAGCTGATGCGTCCGCTGGGGTTTACAACTCTCGCTCTTTCTCTTCAGCTCTCCGCAGCTGATACTGCTCTCCTGGTGAGTCTCGACTTCAAAGGAAGGCCCCCAGCTACGGTGCGTTAACCCCCTAACCCCTGCACAAGGTCAAGGTCTTGTGTGCGCGGATAAGGTGTCTCTGAGGGTGCTTTCACACTTGGTTCGCTTGCCTGGTCCGAACCAGAGTTCGATTGCTCCCCCCTGCCCCTGCCCCCACTGGACTGCGTTCATATTATTTTATTTGGGTCCGAACCGTGGTTTGTTTGCGTCATCAAGCCAGCAGCTGTTTACCCCGTTGCTTAGTAACGACGGCACAGGAGAAGGCGGCAAATGCATAACATTGCTCTCTGCACTTTTATATATTTACATTTTTGAA